GCAGATGGGGTTCGACATGGCAGGTGAAGTTTTCATCATCCAAGTGTAGTTTCATGTCTTTTGGTCCTACCAAACTTCCTGGTCCCATAATTTTTCAGAATAACCCACTCCCAGAATGCCTCACCATAAAGGACCTAGGTCTAAGTTATACAAATAAGCTTGCTTTTTCACCTCATGCAGATAGAATCTCTGCCAAAGCCGCGCAGATATGTGGATTCATATCGCATAATTTTTTCCTTCCGGAAATGAAGCTAAGACTTTATCAAATGTTTGTTCTTCCAGTCCTCGAATACTGCTGTCCTTTCTTTGGTTTAATGAACGCATGCGACCGTAATAAAATCGAAAATGTGCAGAGAGTGTTCACCCGGAAACTGTCCTCTGAATCTTCGTCCAGCATTTCTTATACTTAGAGATGTCAGCTGGCGACCGCGGAAACACACACAGACAGGTTTTTTTTCAACCGGACTTCATCAGCGGAATGGCTGAAACGCCGGAAACTTGTCTTAGAGTTAAAATCGAGACTGAAGGGTGGCGAACACAATCTGGCTATCTTCAAATGGGAGGTAGTTCGGAAATATATGCCGTTTCAGTGGAACCAGCCTGTAATACTTAGAACGACGGCAGCTACTCAGCTAACATACATACCTTCGTTGAACCACCTGCTCAAGGCGGCAACACAAGTAAGCGCGTAATGTCCAGTGGTCTGATTGAAGCAACGCATATAAATGGAACCCATCAGCCCAGAGAACATGGCGTCCGAGATAACGGAGTAATGCTCAAAACAGCAACAAATGCAACGGGAAATTCGGCTAGAGCAAAACTCAGGTGCTTGTACACGAATTCCCAAAGCCTCATATTGAAACTAGATGAGCTGAAACTTTGCTTGCCGAGCTGTCTCCACATGTTTTAGCAGTTACCGAGACCTGGCTGTCCGGGAATATTAGCAATAACGAAGTAGCCTCGCCTGGATACCAGATTTACCGGAGGGACAGGGAAAATCGTCAGGGTGGTGGTATAGTTGTGTATGCGAATGAAGGCCTGGCAGTGTCGGAAAACACCACCAAGTTTGCGTGCGACACGGAAGCTATTTTGGTTGACCATCAAGGCTACCGGTTCCCCGTGTCTCGATGTCCTCACTGTCTACCGACCACCTAGGACAGACCATATCGCCGACACTCAACTATTAGAGCAGCTGGAGAAATTTTCCAGTCGACCTAACGTCATGATCATGGGCGACTTCAACGCACCAGGAACAAACTGGAATACCCTCCAAGCGTCAGGTCCAAAATCGACATTCGATTACAGTCTACTGAACAAAACATTAAAGGCGTCACTCACATAACATGTCATGTTCCCAACGAGAACACGTGAAGGACAAAGGGCAAACTGCCTTGATATCGTTTTTACGAAAACACCAGACAGCATAGACGAGATCACCTCCATGCCGCCTCTTGGCTGAAGTGATCACATAATGCTGATGTGGGATTATTCGTTATTCTCCATTTCGCATTATCCAGACCAAAAACGACGGAATGTTTGCCGTGGCGACTTCAATCAGATGAGGGCAAACTTATCCGGTCTCGACTGGGGTTCGTTGTTTACGGGAAATGCCAACGATGACTGAGAGCTGTTCAAGAATGTCCTTCTGCAGCTTATCAATAACCACTGCCCACTAACTAGTGTAAGACTGAATAAACACCCCGGGTGGCTAGACAGGAACCTTAAGAAAGAAATCAACAGGAAGCACAAATTGTGGAGAAAATACTGCGTCACTGGGCAAGTTGAATATTTCAACACCTACAAGACACAAAGGAACAAACTGAGGAACCTGATCATGAAAACCCGACGGGAATTCGAGAAGAACTTGCTACAAAAAGCAACGCAGTACCCAAAATTACTCTACAGTTACCTACGACGAAGTACAAGGAACAGGCATCAAATCCCCTTAATAAGGACTACTGATGGCGTTGAGATTGCTGATAGTAGGGATAAAGCTGCGTATTTTTCACAGTTTTTCCAATCAGTCTACACAAACGAGTCAAGGTTCATTCCTCCCTCCACAGAAAGACCGCCGACCCCAAGAGTCAGCGATATACTCTTCTCAGAAGGCATTGTCCGAAGAAAATTGGAAGCATTGAACGAATCGAAGTCACCAGGACCAGACGAGATTCCACCCAAACTTCTCAAGGAACTCTCCAGTGAGCTTTCTGTGCCTTTGTCAGTGCTCTTTCAAACGTCATTTGACACTGGAACACTTCTTATCAATTGGAAGCTGGCGCATATTACTCCGCTACACAAAGGAGGTAATAGGGCAGCGACGACAAATTACAGGCCCATAAGCTTAACATGCATTCTCTGCAAAGTGATGGAAAGGATCATAAAGAGTGAACTGATGCAATTCCTGGAAGTTCACGATCTACTATCGAAATGCCAAGATGGGTTCCGGAAGGGAAGATCCTGCACGACAAACTTGCTGCAATCTCTCCAGAGCTGGACCCAAGCTCTCGACGACAGGCACGAGGTCCACATAGCCTTCATCGACTTCCAGAAGGCGTTCGACACTGTGCCACACCAGAGGCTCATACATGAAATTAAAAAATAGGGATCAGTGGCAACTTCCTTAAATGGATTGAAAACTTCCTTGTGGGTCGACACCAGGTCGTCTGCATCGGTCGGGGAAAATCAGACCCTGCTATCGTCGAGAGTGGTGTCCCCGAGGGTTCAGTACTGGGACCCATTTTGTTCCTTATCTACGTGGACGATGCCGCAAGAGCTGTAGACTGCGAAGTAGCAATGTTTGCTGACGACATGAAGATATGGAGTGTAATTCGGGGTCCTGCCGACGAAGACAGACTGCAGATGAACCTGAATCAGTTGGAGGCGTGGTCAAACCGTTGGCTCCTGCGGTTCAACGTTGCCAAATGTAGCATACTTCGCCTAGGCCACACAGTCAGATCCGCCAGCACAAGAAACTACTTTCTGGGCGGTGCAGCCCTACAAGAGGTCGAAGCCCAAAAAGACCTCGATGTGCTGACGACCAGTTCCCTAAAGCCATCCGCCCACTGTTCGAGAGTGGCGAAAACCGCAATGTCCGTATTGTACTCCATCAAGCCTGCGTTCATGGACTTTGACGAAGATGCTTTCTCAAAGACATTCGGAACATTCGTCCGGCCGCATTTAGAGTACGGCATACCAGCTTGGAGGTCGTGGGTTGTTGAGGATCAAAACTGCCTCGAAAGAGTCCAGAGGAGAGCCACGAAGATGGTTAGGGGTCAAAGCTCCTTTCCTTATTCAACTCGCCTAGTAAATCTGAACCTCTTTCCTTTGAGGTACAGGCAACTTCGCGGGGATCTTTTGCAAGCCTTCCGCATTGTTAAGGGGTTGGATTGCAGTCTGGCCTTCGAGGACTTCTTTGAATTTGCTACCACGACCAACCTCCGAGGTCACCCATTAAAACTGCGCACTCAGCATGCAAGGTTGGATGTACGGAAGTTCTCCTTCTCTGTTCGAGTGGTCAAATCATGGAATGCCCTTCCCGCAGATGTTGCGATGTCACCATCCATACAAAGTTTTAAAAAGAATCTCGACATATTTATGTTCCAAAATGACCAAGAGCGATGAGAAGTAGAGCTCACCCCTGTAACCCGTTCTCATTTTGTCGTACAATTATGGGCGTGTTTGAACTATTTCAGCCCAGAACATTTATCTGTATACCACACATTTCTTTACGTTGCAAATAAAGTACTCAAAGGCTTACGCCTATTTCCCTCACTAAACTGAACTGAACTGAAAAATTAAGTTTTTGTGGGTTAGAAGACTCGAAGCCGGCCTTTGCTTCCTCTTTCGCATCAACTCTAGCTCCAGTCTTCCACTCATTGACACTCTCACTGCGAGAGATCGGCCTTATGCCACGCGCAACTCCTGCATGGTGATTCCGCCGCCTCTTTGTATTACATCTAAGCGCTCCCTCTTCTTTGCTTCCAAATATGCATTCCTTTGGAATAATCTTCCGCCTGAAATTAGATTATCGCCTAAGTTACTGGTATTCAAGTCGAAATTACGCAAACATCTTACACCGGAAAGCATAAAGGCACTGTTAACGGTCTCATTCCCGAACACTCCGATTCTTGACTTCGAGAAGGGTCCTCCTGGGATTTAGTGGTAGATATATGCGACTATCTGGAATTCTCTTCCAAGTTCTATCGGGAAAAGTCGAACTCTAATCGAATTTAAAATAAAAACTAAGAAATTCCTTTTAAATAACAATACACATTTATTTTTGAATAAGATAGGACATTTTTCAAGTCAATTCTTTGATATTGAATTTGGTCCAAAAGGGTTCTGATGATGCCAGCCGATTGAAAAATACCGGAACATAGCACTAAAAATAATAAAATTTATAAAAGATAGCATCATTGATAAACATAGAACAGATAATGATATTCTTCTATTTTTCTCCCATTCTCGTTTTCATCAGCTATATCATGTAGGCCTTTGTACACTTTTGATTTGTTTCACTACATTTTCTTGTACACCTGACCTGCTTGTACATTTGTTTGACTAAACGGAAAATACACTTTTTGAACAACGCTACGGCGGTCAACATGTGTTCTGGTCTCGAGTGTGTTTGACATCGTTATTTCTTGGCGTGCGCTTGTCACCTCTCGATTCTCTTAGCAACTTGTTCGTGCTGCCGGGGACTTCCTCCTCGTAGCTGACTTCCACGGACCATCGCGGAACCTAGAGCCTCCCTTCAACCATTTCTTCATCGGGACACTATCTCCCTACTTGATAGGATTCTACCTTACGTGAGTCTGGAACATTCCTTTTCTGGTTCTTTCAATCTGTACATTCTTTTTTTGTTGGTAAACACAATTCCCCCATTCGGAGTTAGTTTTCTTTTGCATATATTACTGTTTGTAGTTTCTAAGTCCACATTTCCACTACAAAATTGGTGACCCCGCTTTTTCCTGCATTCCGAACCTTTTTTTAAATTTACGATGGCCAGTGACGACTCCCAAAAAGACTCACTTGACATTAACACTCTTTCTTTTAAACTGCCACCGTTTACCCCGAGCAACCCTCGCGTTTGGTTCAGGCAGATCGAGGCTCTTTTTGTGACAAGGCGCATTACTAGCGAGCGTACCCGCTATTCGTTCATTTTGCAGTCACTCCCATTTGATGTAGCTGTCACCGTCGAAGACCTTCTTGACCCCATTCCAGCAGACAAACCGTATACGCTGCTGAAGGAAGCGGTTATCCAACGGGTAGCTAAATCGGCTGACCTTATGCTGCGGGAACTTTTCACTCAAGTAGAGCTAGGCGATCAGACACCTTCCCAGCTCATGCGTCACATGCGCTCACTTCTTGCTGGTAGGCACATGGATGACGCCATTTTTCGCGAGATTTGGTTAGAAAAGTTACCGGTGCCTATGCAGCAGGTTTTGGCCATGTTGGACTCGAATACACCTTTAGAGAAACTAGCTACCCACGCCGACAGAATCAAAGAGTGTTACCCCATGGGTGCCTCGTGTTCCACTATTCAACAGCCACCGTCTTCCGAAGGCAAGCCCCATCAGGGCATTGACTCTGATTCAGAAGGCCCACCATTACCAGCGCACGACACTCCCTATACGGAAAAGGCGTCATGCTGTTGCACAACCCGACGCCCGCCCACATCAGCCGGTCCTCCCAGAACACCCACCGCCGCTTATCGCACCGATTACGACGACCTGAGAGACACTGTGCGTCTCCTTTGCACTCAGGTGAGCAACATGTGCTCTGCGCTTAACAGTCTTCAAGCGGCTAGGAAACAGCCATGCTCACATCGACGGTCTAAATCCCGTGAGCGGCGTTCACAACCCTTATGTTGGTATCACCGCACTTATGGCCCGAAAGCCCGAAAGTGCATACCTCCTTGTTCGTTCTCTTGTCCTCCACAGTTAAACGACCACGCCAGCCAGTAATGGCGACGACTGTTGCTGGCCCGTCGCGACCCAGTCGCCTTTTCTATATCAATGACAAGTCGAGCGGCCTTCGTTTCCTGGTCGATACCGGTGCCGAGGTCAGTGTCATCCCGCCTCTAAGGCGTCACCGCCTCAAGCCATCGCAATTCTCATTGCAGGCTGCAAATAGCACCACAATCAGCACCTACGGCCAACGGTCCCTCACTTTAGATCTTGGTCTCCGGCGACGTTTTCAATGGGTCTTTATTGAGGCTGACGTCAAATCGCCCATCATCGGGGCCGACTTTTTGTCATCTTTCGGCTTAACAGTCGATGTCAGATACCGTCGCCTCTCAGACACCACCACCCAACTCTTTACTATAGGTACCAGTAGCTCTGAAAGGTCGGTTGGCATTCATGTCACCATCCCCAGCACCCCTTTCGCTGACATTTTGAAGGACTACCCGTCCAATCACTAAACCATGCCATTTTACCGAAACCGTTCAACACGGAGTGAAACACCACATTTTCACGGCAGGGCAACCAGTGCACGCTCGTCCGCGTAGACTCCACTCTGACAAGCTCCGAATAGCAAAGGACGAATTCGAACATATGATGAATCTGGGCATTATACGCCCTTCATCTAGCCCATGGGCCTCACCACTGCACGTGGGGCCAAAGAAGTCCCCTGACGATTGGAGACCGTGCGGTGATTATCGAGCCCTAAACAGGTCCACAATCCCTGACCGGTACCCCATTCCCCACATTCATGACTTTTCCCACATGTTAGCCGGCAAAACTATTTTTTCCAAGATAGACCTCGTCAGGGCGCACCACCAAATCCCGGTCGCTGAGGAAGATATCCCAAAGACCGCTATCACGACACCCTTTGGGCTGTTCGAATTTATTCGCATGCCTTTTGGTTTGCGCAATGCCGCCCAGTCGTTTGAGCGCTTCATCGATGAGATCTTGCGGGACCTTCCATTCGCTTACGCCTACATCGACGACATACTCGTCGCAAGCTCTTCGGCAGAGGAACATGCCTCGCATTTACGCCTCCTATTCGATCGTTTCCAGCAACACGGTTTTCAATTAAACGTCGACAAATGCGTTTTTGGCGTTAATTCCCTCGATTTCCTTGGCCATCACGTCGATCAGCACGGAATCACCCCACTTAAAGAGAAGGTGCAATGCACCTTGTCTTTCCCTGTTCCCAACTCACTCACTAAGCTGCGACGTTTCATAGGCCTTATCAACTATTACAGACGTTTTATTCCCCATTGTGCGGCAATCCTGGCTCCCTTGACTGACCTTTTGAAGTCTAAAGCAAAACCTATTGAACTTTCACCGGCAGCCCATACAGCCTTTGAGGAAGCGAAAAAGGCTATTGCCGATGCCACCATACTGCACCACCTCAGCTCTGACGCTCATGCACAGCTCATTTTGACCACCGACGCTTCCAGCAGTGCTGTCGGCGCAGTCTTGCATCAACAGGTGAATAACCAGTTGCAGCCTTTAGCTTTCTTTTCACAGAAGCTACAACCGGCGCAGACTCGCTACAGTACTTTCTCTCGCGAACTCCTTGCCGTCTACCTGGCCATACGTCACTTTCGACACCTTTTAGAGGGCAGAGACTTTTCGGTCCACACCGACCACAAGCCTCTCACTTACGCCCTGAAGGCCAAGCCAGATCGGTACTCGCCCAGGGAAGTTCGTCACCTGGACTATATTTCGCAGTTTACTGCCGACATCCGCTACGTCCGAGGCAGCGACAATATCGTTGCTGCTGCATTATCCCGTCCGGACATCAACACACTCACATCCGATTTCGACCTGGCGAGGCTTGCAGACCTCCAAACAGCAGACGAGTCCATCGCGGACTTACGTACGTCTACTACTCTGCAGCTTCGAGATGCACCACTTCCTGCGTCACCGGGTACGATTTTGTGCGATTGGTCCACAGGCACCCCTCGTCCTGTTGTTCCACTATGCTCTCGTAAGGTCGTCTTTGACCACTTTCACTCCCTCTCCCACCCTGGCATTCGCGCTGGACGTAAGTTAATCGCGGCTCGTTTTGTTTGGCCGAAGATGAATTCCGCCATTGCTCTTTGGACCAAACAGTGTCTCGCATGCCAGAAGAACAAGGTTCATCGACACACTTTCTCCCCTCCAAGTACCTTTGCGGTCCCGGATGTTCGATTTAATCATGTTCACTTGGATTTAATCGGACCGTTACCCCCTTCACGTGGGTACACACATATCCTGACGGCCGTTGACCGTTTCACACGATGGCCGATTGCCGTTCCGATCTCGGATACCTCGGCAGAAAATATCGCCATGGTTTTTCTGACCCACTGGATCTCAACTTTTGGTGTGCCAGCCACCCTTACCACCGACCGCGGAAGTCAATTCCAATCTAGCCTCTTCCGTGAGTTCACTAGACTGCTCGGGTGCGCGCACACCACAACCACGGCATACCATCCTGCCTCCAACGGTCTCGTTGAGCGTCTACATCGCCAACTGAAGTCCGCACTGATGTCCCAAACAGAGTCAGCTACTTGGAGTGTCAATCTCCCTCTTGTGCTTTTGGGCATCCGATCTTCTGTCAAGGAGGACATCCAATGCACTGCCGCCGAACTTGTGTACGGTACACCCCTCCGTCTGCCCGGCGAATTTGTGCAGCCTTCCACAACAAACACTAACATCACGAGCACCTTCGTACAGCAGTTGAAACAACGCATGGCTCAACTGCGTCCAACCCCCACTCGTCTGACCTCGAAACACGTGTTTGTACACGAGGATCTTAAATCCGCCCCTTTTGTTTTCGTCTGGCATGACGCAGTGCGCAAGCCCCTTTGTTCTCCCTACGATGGCCCATATAAGGTCGTTCAGCGTAATGACAAGTTTTACGTCCTTCAAAAGGCTGATAAGACTGACACGGTCTCCATTGACCGCCTTAAGCCAGCCTATCTGGAGTGCCTCCCGTCGACCAGTGCGCCATCCATTCCCCCCACTACGTCCTCACCCGATACACCCACTCCGCTCACCTGCCCTCCATCACCACACTTGACCATTATACCCACCCAACCGGATCCTCCTCCTACACCACCGCCTATTTCGTCTCGCTCCGGTAGACATATCCGTTTTCCCGCCAGACTTAAAGACTTTGTAGTGTAATTTTTTCCCATTTTATTTTATCGAGCGTTTTGTTTCTTTGGCAAACGCTCTAATGGGGGAGTTGTGTAGGCCTTTGTACACTTTTGATTTGTTTAACTACATTTTCTTGTACACCTGACCTGCCTGTACATTTGTTTGACTAAGCGGAAAATACACTTTTTGAACAACGCTACGGCGGTCAACATGTGTTCTGGTCTCGAGTGTGTTTGACATCGTTATTTCTTGGCGTGCGCTTGTCACCTCTCGATTCTCTTAGCAACTTGTTCGTGCTGCCGGAGACTTCCTCCTCGTAGCTGACTTCCACGGACCATCGCGGAACCTAGAGCCTCCCTTCAACCATTTCTTCATCGGGACACTATCTCCCTACTTGATAGGATTCTACCTTACGTGAGTCTGGAACATTCCTTTTCTGGTTCTTTCAATCTGTACATTCTTTTTTTGTTGGTAAACACAATTCCCCCATTCGGAGTTAGTTTTCTTTTGCACTGCTGGTCGGATTAGTGTTTAATCACTTCCCTTGACAATGCCTGTAAACTGGCATTAAATTAAAATTTATTTATATATTACTGTTTGTAGTTTCTAAGTCCACATTTCCACTTCAATCACCTGACACTATATGTCCCTTATACAGCTAATAAAAATATACCCTTCGATAAAACCCTGCATATTAGTCGTGCGTATGTCTATATTAAAGCCATATTAAACATATATAGAACTATATTAGGTCATAGTAAACAGTCGACCACTACTCCTATAATTTCACATTAACAAGAACAATATGATACATGAATCAATAGTATTTTGACAGTTTTGATTGTGACTTACCATTGAATGCTTCTTACTCCTGATATATATTCATCTTTTCCAGCTCTTAGTCCAGACAACGATGGTAAGCCTCCTGAAAAACACGTAGGAACTGTGCGACCGCCCGCTTACAGCTGGCCAGATAGACTGACAACCAGCAACTGGAGCACACCGCAATTTACCCAACAGGAAAATAATTTCAATGTCAGGCCGATATCAAAGTTCTTCAATTGCCATGAAAGACATATTATTCATGCCCCAGAAAACTACCAAACTGCAAACATCAATTTTTATATTGTACATATTGTTATTTTTTGAAAATTTTATTATTTTCCCTTAGATCTGAGGTTTTTTAACTTAAAACAAACTCTCAATTCGCGCTCTTTTGGCTAACCAGACACCCGAAACAAATGAAGTCAAAGTGCAGTTGAAATTGACGAGTTTGTTTTAGGTTTTTTTCCTGAGTTCAAAGGGGACTGACAGTGCCCAAGGGGCGCTACAATAAACCTATTCTATTCTATTCTATCTAGTGGTAACTTTTAATTATATCATTAGAAACCCCTGTTTTGTATTGGTTTCTAAATCCACTGCTATCACTCCTCCCCCATAGCGACAATTTTCGCGGTTTTTGATGTCGTCTCCCGCATTCCGACCTCATGCGGTCTGTCGACGCTCACGGCGGAACCCTCAGTATTCGCCGTCTACTAGTAGTTTGGTCGTACCTCCCTTCCCCACTCCTCGGCTGAGCTCGAAGCGTGCTGTGGCCGATCGCATCTGGGTTCCACTCGTCTGGCCTCTTTGACGCTAATAGTCTCATGCCGAGTATCAATCCGGCCCAGACAATGTCAGTTGTGAATCCAGTATGCAATACCACATGCAGGCCAGTCCTGTTTGACCCGCATACGTACCCCTCAAGGCTGAAATTTATTGCTACCCTGACAATGTTCGACTACATTCCGTTATATACTACCACCTACAGGCCAGTCCTGCTCATATTTTTCTGTCATTATTTTTATTGAGGGTTTTTTTCTCCTGTAAAATTAATCCAATCATTTTAACTTTTTGTATGGAGTTTTTTTTCACCCCTCACTAATCATGTTTCTCAATGGACTACTGATTCAGAAACTATGAATTGCATTTTGTAAAGATTCTGCCTACCTCGTCTAAAATTCGCATGTACATTTATTTTTACTTGGTTTGCTGGGACCCCGACGGGTCCTTAATAAAAAATTATCATATCTTATCTTATATTATCCTGGTTGAACCGTTGTCACCAATAAAGGTTGGTTAAATCTTCGCCCGCTGAGATCGTGTTTCCAGTTATCTGGAAAAGGTGTAGCGGCTAAGCAGTGATGGTGTACGCTCAGTACGCCACAACTTCAGGCCATATCCCAAGTTCTTAGAAGCAGGACGCCATTTGGTTAGGAAGAAGATGATTTATTTATTCTGTACAGAATAGTAATGGGAAAGTTGGTAACCGGACGAGGATGCGTCCGGC